AGGAAGGAAGGAAGGAAGGAAGGAAGGAAGGAAGGAAGGAAGGAAGGAAGGAAGGAAGGAAGGAAGGAAGGAAGGGCCGGAAGAAACGCAAAGAAAGGAAAAGCAGAGGACTTGTCCCCATAACGCCCGCATTATCCACTTGTAGATCAATAGTTATTCATTTCCTAAGACGCTCCTAAGATTCCAAATAAAAGTGCCATGTGTTTATGTCTTTGTGGGAGGCAGTGTTATAAATTGCTTTTGCTACAAGAATACTTGGTATGCAATAATATATGTGAAAGGACTTTATAATGAAAGTTGTCATTGCCATAATCATCATGATTATTCCTTCTATCTTCATGTAAATGCTTTAAGTAATTTTTCTGATTTTAAAAGTAAAGATTTAAAAGGGTTAACTGTACATACTAAGGAAAATTCAGAAAAGAATTAGCTTAACCATAAATTTTTTAAATTATAGATTAAGCTATACTAAAAACTTCCTTTTATCAAAAGACATCATTTTTAAAAGCAGAAAGACAAGCCATGTTACGGAAGACGATATCTGCAACAGATAATTGACAAAGGACCACTATTGAAAAAATATTTTAAAAAACTCTTAGAATCAGTAAGCGAAAGAGAGACAACACAATAGGATAATAGGTAAAGACTGGAATAGAAACTTTACAGAAGAGGAACTATCAACGGCCAATAGACACATGAAAATATGTCCAACCTCATTAGTAATCAAGGAAATTCATATGAAAACCATAAAGAGTTCATGACATACTCCTCAGATGGACAAAACATGTAAAGACTAGGAACATAAAGCAATGAGAATCTCATTCTGTTACTACGATTGTTTTAGAGAAACTTTTTGTACGTGTATAAGTGGAGGTCTCTAAGGATGTTTACTGTGGCATTTTTTTCCTAGTAGTCAACAATTCGAAACAACTCAAGTAACCATCAAAAGTGGGATGAATATTTTCCAAAGGAGATCATTGAAGTGAAATTGTTTAACATCTTGAATAAACATATTTTTTTTAATTGCAAAAAAAAAAGTGGAATGGATAAAAACATTGCAGAAGATTACTACAATGTAATAATGAAAATGAATGAACTACAAGCTCATACAGCAACATGGACCATGTTCAAAAACATAATGTTAAGCTAAAGAAGCAAGTCACAAATTGATACTTGTTACTTAAAGCTCTAATTGGTTTTATTTTCCCAAAATATCCCATTTTCTCTATACCATTTTTGACTAATATATTGCTTCCCCACTGGTTTGTAATGGTGTCTTTTTTTTTTTTTTTGTCTTAATCAACCACTATCCTTTTTGAGTTCCAGTACCTCTTTCCAGCCTGTTTCTTCCCACTGATGGGTCTTTCCATCCCACGGTATCAATCACTACTGTCTTCATTATTACTACTATTGCTACGCTCTTTTCCTTCTTCATGAAAATCTTAATGTCTGAGCGCATTTGATGGCTCCAGCTCCTGCGACTCTGCGGGGCTTTCTGTGCCCTCCTTAGAGCATACATTTCTACTCGGCTTTCAGTTTTGCCGCCCACAGGAACCGTGGGGGCACATAAACTACCACAACTTTGTCCCCCCCAGGTTTCAACCCCTCTCTACAGTTCTTGGTATGCCTTCTGTCCGAGGGCAGGAGTGATGGGGGGTGAGAGAACCACTCCTGCCGTGAGGGACTGGGACTCTGTAATAAGCAACATCGAAGGCAGGCATGAGATTGCAAGCCACCTGTTGATGACAGTCAGTCACCCTCCTCACAAGGATTTGCTCTGTGTGTGTGTTTTCTCTTCCATTCTTGTGGATGCAGACAGGATATTGAACAGCAGCTGGGCTCCTTGATCTTGGCAACAGACATCAACAGACAGAATGAATTTTTGACCAGATTGAAAGCTCACCTCCAAAATAAAGACTTAAGGCTGGAGGATGTCCACGACAGGCACTTTCTGCTTCAGGTAAACAACCACCACAAAGCCGTTATTCTTGCTGGGGGAAAACACGTAGGGGCATGATCAATAAGTTTAGCAGGTTTGAGGGAGTATCTCCCATGGTCTAAATTAGAGCAGTGACCTACTTTATTAAGAGCTTTGAGACACGTGAAATTTTCAAGTGGTTTCCAAGCAAGCAAAGTGTGGGTTTCGTGTCAGTAGGTTGATAATATCTCATTTTTTCTTGTTTGGTAACTGCTTCACCACAAAGTAGCCGCCCTGCTGGGCAGTTGCACGCAGTAAGAATCTACCACGTTTTGCGCCTTGATGTAAAATTGACCACTGTGACATCTGTACTGTTTCTATAAGACAAAAGTATATTATGTTAACTCTGGTACCCCCCAAAACTGAGAAGAGAGTAGCCTTCCTTTACCTAAAACCTGTCTAATCAAACCCTCTTTTACTTCCTTTCACTACCTAAACTCACATTTTCATCTGAGGCTCAAACATGTTTACCTAGTCTTAGCATTTTTAGGCACCAATAAATAAATTGTTTTAACTGAATGAATTGAATTATATCAAGCCCAATCCTTTCTTCATCATTCTATGGCAAGAAGCCATTTTCAACGTGAGAAAAAGAGCAGAAGTGGACCTCAGAACTAGAACTCTGACTTGGTATCCAAACCAGAGCCTTTTTCTTGTCTTCCATTTTCTGCTGTCTTCCTTTTGACGCAAAAGACTGAATGGATGAACCCTGGACTTGTCCAAATAGACCAACTTTACCCAGGAGACAGAGCTGCACGTGGCAGACTGAACTGTGCAGTTTTTTCTGCTCCACGCCTCCATTCTGCCCCTAGCTGTCCAGAGTGCCCCATCCTTCCCAGGAAATGCTCTCCTTCCAGCTGCAGCTCTGTATCTTCTTCCTTCTTTCTCCCAAATTAGTCTTCTTTTCCCTGCAAGCCACAAAGATCAACCAGGGTAGCTGAAAGATTTGGTCTGAACACTTGCATTTCAAAAGAAAAGCCGGCTGACACAGTGAATTTTGTGTCAGAACTTGGAGGGGACTTCTGCCCCTTACCTACTCCAACACGTCCTGGTGCCCCCATTAACCAGGAAGTAAAGAAGCAACCAAATTTGCAACTTAATGTGACCCAGGCTCTCCCAGACCCCAGCCCTGTTAGCAGTTCTGTGGCCCCAGGGAACTGGGTCAAAACAAACAGACCTTGCTGGTGGGCAGGACACACCACAGGAGCCCACCTGGGCAGCGGTCTCTATGCAGCTGGTGGTAAGGGGCAGAATCTACTTCTCTTGGAATTCAAGGTAACCCTCCTAGGGTCAGTGAGAAAGTGGGCACCCCAGATCCAGGTCAGTGTGAGGCAAGCCAAGAGGCCTTGATTTAGTTCTACAAACAAAACACTCGTAGCTTTGATATGACCTAGCTCCCTGGCTGGCAGTCTGAGCTTGTTCACACACACAGACATGGGCACATAAACTCAAGCACACATCATTTAGGTGATGTATGTAGTTGGTCGTTTTGGCCACTGTGAAAGTGAGGTCCAAATGATCTCACTTGAGCCTGGCTGGGACCCCAGCGGCCTCCCTGGCCGTGGGAGGTGGGGCAGCAGGAGGAACCAGGCCATGGCTTTCCTTGGCCAGCACACCCCACATCTCCTCCAGAAAGCTCCGTGTCCTTGGACGGTGGCTCTTCTCTCCTTCTCACCGCTATAAAGTGGGAGCTCTGAATGAAGGGTTTGTGTGCTAGTGACGAAGTGTCGTTTCCTGCAGAGACACGTCAGGGAGGCCCTGTGTGGGCACGGGCCTGGCACCACGAGGCGCGCTGGCAGGGTGGACAGCCCCTTGGGCTTGGGGTGCATTTGCTGCTGAAAGATCACCCTCTGACAGTCTCTCCCTGCCCTGTCGCTTCTCAGATTGCCTTGAAGTGTGCTGACATTTGCAATCCCTGCAGAATCTGGGAGATGAGCAAGCAGTGGAGTGAAAGGGTCTGTGAAGAGTTCTACAGGCAAGGTTAGTGCAACCCGACAGCTGCGTTTTCACGGCCCTCCTCCTTCAGGCATGTATCCTAATAAAACAGGAAGTGGGTGATCTATCCTGACATTTGTTCTTTCATCAGCTCTTATTATCCTAACCTTTCTCTTTAACTCTCTTGCAAACCATCCATCCCTTTTTTGGAAATAGTTTCAAAATAAATAACATTGACTTATTACAGAAACAGGTAGTAATGAGGTGCAATAAAAGTGAGTGAGAACGGGATATATATACTTTTTTTTTTTTTTAACGGTTTTCCTCGGTGGATATAAAAATGTGAGGGACAGTTTGATTTTTAGCCTGACCTTCATTTTAATGAGCTGAGCGCAGCCTAAAGGCTAAATGCCATTTGCGGTCAATGTTTTCCACTCTGACAGAGGGCTTAGCTCCTTTTGTGTTCCTTCCCCTCACTTTCTCAAATAAAGCTAATAATGAAATAGAGCACAGCTGACCAGGGATTGATTTAATCCTCTCAAACAGATACGTGGAAAGTCAAATGGCCCCAAGTTAGGGTGTAATTTTTAAGAGATCAACCTCATTCAGAAATAAGGCACTGAATTTGAGCAGGATCTTGCCGTTGGGTGGGAGGTCACCTTTAAACACAGCCTTGTTTCTCCGGGCCTGGTTTCAGCGCTCGGGATGTTTGCTCAGGCACAACAGTGCCTGATGTTAGTGACGGGATCAGGTGTGGGAGGCTGAGAACAAATAAAGCCTGAAGTGTCCCACATACCAGCTCTGTGGGGAGCTCAAGTAGCAACAGTGAGCCTTTTGGAGAAGCCTCCATCAAAAGATGTGTCAGTGACATTGTAACGGTCCCAAAGACAGAAGACAAAGCAGAAGGGATTGGGTTCATGTGCGGACAAAAGGCTCTACTCACCATCTCCCGCTCAGAGGAAAAGTGCTCACATAGCTCCCACAGCTCTCTGGTATTTCACTTCAGTTGGGGCGTAAGTGGTTACAAATCAAGAAGTCAGTTCTAGTTGCCCATGATGTAAAATCTCCACTGAGGGGAAAACAAAGGAAAATAGGATGAAACTGGAGCAGAGAGGTTTCAGATTAGATAAGATAAATACTTTCTTTACTGTATGATATAGAAAATATTCACAGTGAGAGAAAGGCTAGGTTTTTCATTCTTGGAAATCAAACAATGGGAAAGAGAAGATTCCACTCTGCCCCTCTTGGTTTTGACACAATCATATGCTCCTGTTGGCAATGATTGCAGTTTAACCCCTTCATTTTCTTAGCTTGCACCCTTATTTAGACTATGAACAACTCAGGGACCATGTCACTTGAGCAGATTGTAAGGTCCACACAGTCGGTGAATCCAAGTTGTTAACTAAGCGGAGTAAATGGGATCAACCAAGAAAAATAAGCTGTAAGATCTCTGCAAAAAACTGGCTGCTGTCCTCAGAGTATATGCATACGCAGCCTCATAAGATGGCATAACTAGAATACCTGTACCTCTGATCACTAAAGGGGAGCTTCCATGCCCTTTGCTCTGGCACATCTCCTGGCAGAGAAAGGGGAATACAGAGGGCATGTTGGGTCCTTGTTATTTAATTGCACTTTGGTCTAGTGGAAGTTCAGCCTGTTTAAGAGGAGAGACCATATTCTTGTCATCCAACTGTATGTACTCCATACTGAATTGATATTTTAAACATTCTGTGAGCATGACTTTTATCATTTTATTAATCTTATTCTGGCTTTTGGTTTAGGATTTTCAGTTTGCTAACAGTTCCAGCCAAAGTATCTTTATTGATTCATGATGTTGAGCAAAGGAAACCTCCTGAAGTCAAGGTTGAGAACAGAGGGAGAAAGAAAGATGAGATCTCATGAATCAGGAAAACCGTGCTAGATTCTGAGAATGGGGATTAGGATTCTGCCCTCCTCTTGATGCCTTAAGGAGGTAGAATCTCTGTCCTGTTGTAACTACACATTGGTATCTTCTCAATCACCAAGATCCCAGAGGTTTTTATTGAGCATCTGCTTCCAGCCTTGTCTAATCCTCGGTAAAACTGTGACTTTCCCTTTGTCCCAAGCCCCACTGGGGACAACGTCATGGATGATGCAAGGAAGTAGAGTTAACATTTCATAATCTCAAAATACTAAGTGGTAAAGTTCCTGGAGGAAAGAAACTCCAATTTTCCACTTTGGATTCTCTACATTGATTAACAAAGTATTTAAAATATATAGTGCTTCATAAATATATGTTGAATGAGTAAATGAATAAATGATCTAACTTAAGGCCCTCTAATGGAAGAGGTCAGGAGAAGACCTAATGCTGAGGAAGGTAGAATCTGAGCTGGGTGTTGAAGGATGATGAGTGGTGTACTGTACCTCCCAATAGGATAGCCATGAGGCACATGTGGCTAGTTAAATTTAAATTAATTAAAATTACATAAAGTTAAAAATTTAGTTCCTTAGTATTTTTAATTGTATTTCAAGGGGGCTACTGTAGTGGGCAGTGCAGAGAACATGTTCGTCATTGCAGAAAATCCAACTAGACAGCACCAGTCTACATAGAGAGGAGTGGGAATGGACAAAGGCACTGAGGCGGGGCCATACCCCTGCCTCATAGACCAGCTTGTCCGCTGAAGGTGAGAAATGAGAGGATTTGTGGAGTACAGACCAAGCAATCAAACATGGCACTTTCTCACAGACAGTGCACTTAGCGCAACATATATAACTGAAAGTAGGGAAAAGATATTCCAAGAGAGGACTAAATAGGATTTCATGCCTCAGTGCGGAGGGTGAAGGAAAGGGGAAAATCGAAGGCGATTCGTCCAAAGTGTCAAGATCGATTGAAAAACCACAGTTAACAGCAGCGTGAAGGTGAGTAGAGTGAGCTTTAGGGAACTCATTTCAATATTAAACCCTCAGGAGGCTATCGTCATGGAGCTGCCCTCAGCCCCTCAGGTTAAACCAGGGTGACTTCCGACATCATTCCCGAGAATCACCAGGGCATAGACACGG